ATCTCAGTCTTCCTTCCTGCTGTAGGAAAGATTAGATTAATGAAACAAGTTGACATCTAAACAAGCGAAGCAAGTACTCAAATATATATATATTTCGTTTTAAAAAAGGTGCTTGAGTTTGGATCTTTTTTGAATCACATTTCAATAATTATAAACAGAAATAGTGCAAATACTGTAAATCTTAAAAAGCATTTTCACAGCCAGGAATATATCTGTCAGTGTTTGATTCACATCTCCTCCCTATGAAATCTTTCTGTTATTCCAAATCGACCCCCTCTGACATGCATAATTTATCTCCCTCCTCTCTAATGTGAATTAAAAACACACAGTTGAATGGTGAATCACCCTGATTCCCTTTCAGCCCGATCCATTGCTTTAAACTTAACAAACTGGCTTTACCATAGAAAGCCAGCCATTACTCTGAGTCAAAAGCTAAATGAAAGACTTCCATTGACTTAAAATGGAAACCTGTCGTCTTGCCATCAGATCTTTTCCTCTCCTTTTCACCAGAAACTCTGCGTCAAGTGCGTTCGCCTCCTGCTCCTTGTCAAGTCTCTGTAAGGTAATTAGTGGAATTTCCTCCTCTGGCGCTTCATTATCAATGTGCCTTATTTACATATGATTTCAAACACCAGCCGAGCTCTGGCTTTTTTTTCCCTTTTTACAGTTTTATGCGATTCGTGGGAGTGCAAACGGGAGACGTAGCGGGGGGCCTTTGGTTGCACCCTTTGCTTTTCTGTCTTTTCTCTCCCATCTCTGACTTGTTCTGCGCTCGCTCTCTCTCTCTGCGAGCCGTGCAGCTGCTGCAGCCTCTTCCTCTTCTTCTCTGTATCGGTCTCTCTCTCTCTGCACAGCGGGGGGTTTGGGAGCTGAAGACCTCCTCTGCAGGTGCAGCCTCTTCCTGCTGCCTCTCCCTCGCCTTTCTTTCACCATTTCCTCTGAAGATCACATTCATACCACTCACTCATTCACACTCAAGTACAAAAGTTTCCTCTGATGCCTGTTTAAAAAAATCACTTTCCCTTTTTTTATTCTTGGTTTTCTCTGTTTCTGCTTCTCTGTGTGTGTGTGTGTGTGTGTGTGTGTGTGTGTGTGTGTGTGTGTGTGTGTGTGTGTTACATTCAAG